GCTAAATAGCATTTTTTTTCCGCTTTTTTAACGCGTAAACTTTTATTGGGGCTATCTATTTACTCTAATTGAAACGTAATTAAACACTAACTACATTATTATTTTACTTTACATAACTTGTGGGAGGAAGAATTAAAACAATTTTGCAGAAAAAAAACATTGAAATTGAAAAAAAAAATCTTTTTTTTCAACATTTCATCAATCTTGACAGTAAAAAAGAATTGTCAAATAATATTTCATAGATGTTTAAGTGCAATCGAAACAGCCAACAGGGCGGCGCCCTGATACAAGTAGTTTGTTAATTCACCTGAGTGATTTTTCCTTAATTGAATGCTGAATTTTTCCCCATTTTTGTGCAATTTTTTAATGGCGGTTTATTCCCTCCTCTGAAAAAATAAAACAAAAAAACACCCATCGCCTTCATTCCTTTAAGCGCTCGTTGTTCTTTTTTTCTCAAATTTTGACGCCAATCAATTTTTTCACTTCAGTGTCATGACACGCTCAATTTACTCAAACAACAAGTGGAATTTCTCTTCAACCCTTGAATGATATATTTTTTAAATAGCTAACAACTAGGTGATTTTAACTTGATTAATTTTTTTTCCGTATAAAAGACGAAAATAAATTAACTTGAATGTATGAATATATGGTACATTTGGCTGCTAAGACCTCAGTTTTTTAAACAGAAATAAATATTTTGAAAGTCATCCGATTCTATTCATCGACCAAAATAAATAAGCATTTGAATTTTAAATACAGAAAAATATACAAAAATTTCTTGTGAAAAATTCTGGAGTAAAGAAGACATGGGTCACAGGTGTATAAATTGATTGATTCAGAAATGTATTTGGTATTCGCATGGTCTTTAGTGATCACAGTCTTACACAATAACCGTACCCCTTCCCCCAGAGACCATGAAACAATTTAGGGTGACTCAAATTTTCCAGAATTTCACTTCTTGATTCAGAAATAAGTTGACATGCTGAAGTTAATAAAACTCAATTAGCAAAACTACTGTCAATCAAAATTTATGTGGACACTGTAAAAATGCGACTCCCTGTTAACTTTTTTGTAGCCATGTTGAGCGTTTTTTCATGTAACAAAATGTAGCTCCGGGGATTTAGCTTACAGGGATGATTAACGCTGAAGCATTAAAACTCCAGTATTTCAAACAATTTCAGCAATGATTCAGAGTTGTTAAATAAATTGACATTGATTGATAAATGGCTATCGACAGTTAGAAAAAACTGCAAAACAAACTTTATTCCGGTATGAATGAGCGATGTGCAAAAATAAGACTCCTGTCAGTTTTCATATCATCTTAACTTTACAGTTAAGACTTGAAAGTGAAACCGTTCTCACAATTCAAGGTCAAAACCTATACTTTTTCAGAAGATTTTGAAAATTTCCGTCAAGGAAACAAAACTCAATACTTGTTATAATGAGAACAATTTTTTTGTAGAAGAGAAGCAACCGAGCACATTAACTCCATCATTTTTTTTTTCAAAGTTTGCATCAATTTAATCTTCAACCCAGCCTTGAACAAGATGTTGTAAGTTTATGTAAAACGACGCCTGTATCTTGAACTTCCGTGAAATTATAAACTAAAAGTTTAGGTTTATCTGACATGGATTTTTTGCTGAGTCAGCGTTTTGCCGTACCCGTACCTTCTAAACATTATTACCCTGTTCTGGAAGACAGTTTGATTGTCTCTAGAATTTTGAATGCTCTTTCTGATTATGAACACTTTCTTTAACTCTCAAATGTTAATTGTTCTTCCTCATTATGAAAACACTTTTTTCCTCCATAAGATTTATTTTCCACTTAATAATAATAATGAATTAAGGAACATTTGTGGTAGCAGGGGCCTTTTCATCGTACCCTATATTGACTACTGAAAAAACTAACTCGACGGAAATGCTTTTCTAATTGAGTAAATCAATTTCCTCACTTGGAAATTAAAAACTTAAGTAACTTGAAATACTTTTTAAGTTTTTTTTATAAATTTCAGAGGTTTGGACAATTGCAAAATTGACCAATTACTTGAGTTAGTTTAGGATCCGGTTACATAATATCACCCCGCACCCTTACATCTCTGGTTATTACTATTAAATTTTCACCCTAAAAGGACTAATTTGATTGTTTAACGTGTGCAAGATCTGTACTTTGGAACAAATTCCCTCTTTGAAAATAGAAACAGAAACAAGACAGCTGGTTTCAGGGCAAAACCCTGAAATTTCCGATGCTTTTTAAACTCCATTGAATAGTTTTTGCTCCAAAAAAGCTGATAACTTTTCAAAATAAATGGAATGTTTTTGAGATTTTTTTCAAAAAACTCACAAACTATGTAAAAAAAAAATACGTTTTTCACATGGCAAATATTAAATACTTTATATAGCATGCCTGAGTTTAATTTAGAACAATTTCCAAGACGGGCAAAATCTCCGCTTACGCTTTAATAGCCCGAATGATATCGCGCGTTAATTATCCCAAATTGGCCGAATTGGCCTCATTGGCAACCTCTAAACCCACATAGCTTAACGAAAAAATCGTCACAAGTAAAATATAAATTTTTCGAAATTGAGCTCTTGACAACAATACCTTTCTGACGGTATAAAAAAACTTTGTTTTTGGAGAAAAAATCACTCGAGTACAAATTTCATTGAAAATCGGAACAACAAGAAAAAGAGTAAACAAGAACAAGTTCTCAGGCAACGTGCATGTAATAAAATGAGCATTCGATTTGTTTAGACAATTGCAAAATGGATCTAAGATTGTCATTTTTGCAATATAGAAAACTTGCGTTGTTATGCTATAGTTTTCACAGGTCAATCTGAATTTCTTGGGGGTATGCTTGGGGTTTATGCTTGGGGTTCTCAAGTCACGTTCGCAATCTATATTATGAGTTTGAGTTCGACTATAGCACATTCTCGACCACAGATTTTCGGTCGAACGGTAACATGAGTTTTATCTGCCTCGGTCGAAACAAAAATTGTAAACCTCAACCCTGGTTTATTTTATTCAAACCGATTTCGGCAACTGAAACAAAAGTTTTCAATTCTCTAATAAGAAATCAATTTCCTGAATTTAGACTCAAAAATTTAGCACATGCCATTTTTTGATAATGAACTGGGATTTTGAAATTCAGTAATTTGACAATTGTTTTGTACTAAATAATGCGCGTTTTTCAAAAGTTTACATTGATACTGAAATTAAATATACGATTTCTTTAAGCGGGGCAAAACATTCCTCAAAATCAATCCAAAAGGCAATGAGGCAAGCTAATTGGTCAAAATGTATTCCTATGAGACACAAATCATAACCATTGTTAAATGATGTTGGCTGCTTGACAAGAAAAAATGAAAGAAAATTCCGATTAAGGCTGACAATCAAGTGCCTGCCCAAAATTTTAAGTAATAAGCTTGAGACTTTTTTCATCGAGGTTCGAATACTTCTATTAAAAGAATTTTAATCAATGTTTGTTCATATATAAATCTACATATATAATGGAATGAAAACAAAATTTCCGCAGAAAACTTTTATTTATTTTTGCAGCAAGACTATACAAAACTGCTTTTATAAGGAAGAAACCTGAACGTTTGACTTCCTCTTGCCGTCGACGAAAAAATTTTTGGTCAAGTTTTGTTTAAGACGTGCTAGAAATGAATTTTTTTGTTTTTGTATTTAAAATTTTATTTTAATCATATTACAACAATCACGTTAAGTAAAAATTGACATATTTCGCATCTAGCAACGCATTAATAAGAGTAAGTCGCTGGCTGCAATTCATTTTGAAAAGATTCGAATTGCCATTTACGAGTTAATAGGCAAAAATTCCATTCCCCATAACTTAGTCGCTAGTAAACTTTTTTGTTTTGATTTCGAGCTTGAACATCGAAATCTTTCGAATAGAAAAAAATTAGTTTCTGACACAAATTAGTTTCTACCTTAAACCTAAATATTTTGCCTTTTTTAGAAAGTTGGAACAAAAGATCCCTCAAATTGTTGTTAGCGCATAATGATAAAAATAGCCCAGACAAATTTCTAGTCGCAAGCTTATCTCAAAACCATCTTACTGTCGTTCGTTTTGAGGAAGGTGCCTACATACTAACCGAAACTTAGTGAACTTTGACAAGAAAGCAGCAACTTTTATATACATAACAGCTACTGGAATGGAAACAAACTGCAAAATCGCTGCTCAATTCCCTTCCTACAATTTTTTGCACTTCTTTGTCCTTTTATATCAAAAATATGTCATGTTCAAGATTACTAGACAATGGTAGGCATGTTTTCACTCCGTTATAATTAGTTTGAGTTGCGCGATAGCTTCTAAGCGTAGAACTCAAAATTAATTTTCAGTATGAAACTTTTTGAGTTGTGGTTCATTAAGGTCAACATAAACTAGACCAGAGGCGGAAGAGGGGGGGGGGGGGGGCTCGAAATTTCAAAAAAACTTCGAAAATTTTTAGACCTTTTTTAAATAAACACGTCAAAAACGCCGTTTTCGGGCACTGTTTGAAAAGTTTTGAGCAAAGAATGTCGTTTTTTTTTCGGCGCGCGCTCCCCTTAAAAACCAGTATATATTGGCGTCAATGGCGCCTTTAGAAAAATTTTAGGGTTGGTCGGCCTAAAATAGAGGTCATAAAGTAATATCAATGTGTGGTGATGGTTGATAAGGGATTTGGTGAGGGGGTCGAAAAAGGGCGTCCGCTCCCCCTCCCCGCCACCCCTAAATTCACTCCAGATTTCGACTACAAAAATATCAAAAATTTCGTCATTTGAAGTTACATAGTCCAGAAAAAAGCTGATGATTTCATTTTCTACTTTTTAAAACTTTGATTTTAGAAAATAAAATCACAACCAATCCAATTTTTGTTTTTTATTTGCAAAAAAATTGATAGTTTTTCGTTATCAAGAGCTACGTTATCTTCTTTAAGTCTGCGTTTGTTTCACCATGGAAATCAAACATAATTAAAATACTTTTGCAGCTTTAGAAATACCTTTATGTCTCCAAGGTCCCCGAACGAACTTTTTCTGGAGGAGCAGTTGGACGAGCAGGGGGAGTTGTTGCTCTTCGGAGTGAGAGATCCCCGAGGGGACAGGAAGCCGGGAGATCCGAGGCCACTCGCTTCGGCACTGTGAGACTGCGGCCTAATGGCCATGGCTGAAGCAATCATCAAGTGTTATATTTTCAAGTGCAAAAAAATGAAATCGTAATGTAGAACTTTGAAAAATAATAGTGTTATAAGCCCCTATATGTAAACATTTATCAAAAATGAAATAATCATAATTTTGATTAAATTGTTGACATCAAAACTTGTTTTTAAAACTGATTCAAGAGTTGAAACTTTCAGAATTGTGAGACGATTCTACTCTTGTTCACACACATTTTTGATTTTTTCCCAGAACAAATTTAAGCAAAATAGTGCAATATTTTAAAAAGGTACTTTTGGCTCGACACATTCCTGGGATATTGAGAAACATATTGAGTGAGGAGCTCAAGGTCATCTTGATCAGATCTTTCTTGGCCTCCAGTTGACCTGCATCGCCCTGAGTACGTAACTCGTCACTGTCAGATGTGTTCACGCGGCCACAATTACATAATGAGTCGTCTAGTGATCTCCGTCTGAACCTGCTTGACCTCCGTTGCATGTAGTTCCGACCTTCAAAGCAGAATTTTTTGAGAATGTTGGATAGACATGCATTACGATGTTGTAAGGCACAATAGAAAAAGACGCCCTTAGAACAGTTTTGGAGTTGGCCAAACAAAAATTGATACCGGCCTTAAAATATTCGGCTGTAATTTATTCCTAAACAGTACCAAAGAAGGGTCTTTTGCAAAAATTTGACTGCCAAAGTTAAGAGGGCTCATTTGTCGTGCTTGACGGGTTGAACACTCAAAAAATTTCGATATTAACTGTCCTTTAAACAAGCCTCAGTTGGCATCTAGCTTCGGGGCTACAACAGCCTGACCAAATTCGGCTGCAATAGTGGTACCACGGGAAAGTTTTAGACACAAAAAACGGCCTTGAGTTGCAACCAAAACAAAATAACTCAGTCTGGAATGTGGGAAAATAAGAGAAACGAACTATGTTTAGACAGTCGAAATAGCTTTTCTCAAATCCTCTGCAAATCCCAGAAACCACAATTAATATAAAAATAATCATAATAACTATTATCAAACTTTTTCTGTCGAGTTTTTGAATACGGAATTCTAATGGATTCTTAAATATATTAATAAAAACAAAAAATTGGCAGAATAATTTTTTTAAACCTTTGAGAGTGTCGGCAAGGGACCGTCTGCGCATGTACATGTTGATGGGGGGACTGCTGGAGCTGATGGAGCCGTCTCTGGATGCCCTGGCGTGGGCCGAGTAGGCGTGTGCGTGTTGGTGGTAGTGATACTGCATTTGTCGCACAAAACTAGTCCTGCAAATAAATAAACAAAAACATAACAATTGGATCATAAAACCAAACAAAACTGCTCGTATCGGGGCAAACCCTGAATGTTCCGACTGCCTTTTAAGTTCTATGGAGCAGTTTTAACATGAAAAAATTAAGTATAATATAAGAAATGAAAAATTTATTTTTACCTTTTGAGATTTTTTGTGAATATCATCCCCTCACACACCATATAAAGTACAAAATGATAGTTTTCAATCCTAGTAGCAGTTCGAGCATGGCAAATAAGCTTCCTTCAACCAATTTGGAACGATTTCCAAGACGTATTAAATCTCCGCTTACGCGTTAATAGCGCGAAATATATCGCGCGTTAATCGTTCCAAATCGATGGGCCAAAATGGCAATCTTTAAACCCCATAACTTTGCAAAATATGATCACAAGTGAAATAACTTTTGAAATTTGAGCTCAAAACAACATTATTTTTTGATTGATATAAAAATTTTCCGTCAAAAATGGCTAGTTAAAATTCGAAATTTGTCTGAAGAAAAAAACCACCCCGAGCACAAATATTCCGTTATTTTTGTTACAAAAGTCGGAACAAAAAGTAAAGGATTTGGACCACTAAAAATACAAAAAAAGAATTGAATCACCATAAAATTAAATTGAAAGACCGGAAAACAATTTAATTTACAGATATTCACCGAACAAAACTAATTCTAAATAAAAATTTCTTAAAACAATTTCAATGTTGTATCATAATGAAGAAACAACAAAATTGTTATCACAATCAAGCAAACTTATCACAAAACTTACAAAATAGAAGTCACTGAATCACCGTATAAAATGTAGACCGAAAGTTTTTTTCAAAAAAAACAAATGGATCACAAAAACGATAACTGGCTTAGCACCCCAAAACATTGAGCAACATACGACTGATATCCAGATTCTAATCAAAGAGGAAAAATACATCAGCCCAATGATTCTATATATCCGTTTTTTTCTTTTTTTTTAAATATCGATAGTTTTTGATATTTGGCGTTTTCGACTCCTAACATTTCCTACTCTTTTCTTTCTTGACTAGTTTTTCTCTTTGGTTTTCACAGTTTCCGTTTTCCACTTCTTTTTCTTTTTGCTGGTTTTCTTTTTCGGCTTGGCAAAATTGAATATTTCTACCTTTTTCAACTCGCTTTGATGTTGCTTTGCTCCAGTGTTGTCGTTCCAGCTTTCAAAGAAAAAGAGAAATATACATGCCAGAAGTAGTTTTTATTCAAAACAATTATAATAAAAGTTGACAGCGTATGGATATCGATATGGAAATCTTTGAGCTTGCATTCGGCTAAAATATGGCTGACATCGCCGCTCGAATAACACTCCAATGGTTTATTCGTAAAATTATGAGGGTTCAAAGAGTGCAAATTTGGCCGATTTTGGACAATTAACGCGCAATACATTTCGTGCCATTTTCACGTAATCCTGATGCTGTGCAATTAAACAGTAATTGTTACGAAAAACAAAATTGAACTCGGATAGCCGGTTAATGAGAAAGTAGCACAGAATGTTCCGATCAAAATCTTAGAAAAATGTTTCCTTTTTTCCAATTAGTGTCGTTTTTCTGCGTGATGCGATAAAAACATCTGAAAGAAAACTACAGCTTAAGCATATTTGATAGCGATGGTAAAAAAAGCAAATGGACAGCAATATTTGTAGAAAAATGACCGTACAAACATAAAAAACTAATTTTCAAACTTTTTTTTGTCTTTTGCACATTTCTTTTTGAAATTTTGAAGTTCTTGATTCCAGAAAATGCTAGAAAACACTAAAAAAAAAGACTTACCTGAGTAAAATTAAATTTTTATAGCCTAAATTTAGCTATTGTAGGCTATTCAGCTATTGAAATAAACTATTGTTTGATTGCTCGCTCGCTTTAAACCAAAATAAATGAATTTATTGCTCGCTCGAAATAAGACCAAAAGTAAATAAATTTAAACCAATTTTTCTCGATACTGAGACATTTTTTGAGTATTTTTGAATCTGAATCGAATCACGGCTAAGGGGGCTTTTTTTATGGTATATCACTCGAATCTTCCAGATGATTAAGTGTGGTACCTCATTTTGCGTGGAACAAAAGAACAAAAAAAACTACATAACGAGGCCAAACTGTGCACTGGATAGGCGCACAATTTTGTGTCTGTATGTTCCTGGATTCCGGATACAAGTCTTTAAACATGTTAAAATTTTGTCGGAACGATCAAAGGAAAGTAAAGAATAAAAGAAGAACAACGGGAGCGTCCTTGTTGCGGAATCCGCTTACAATGCACAAAATGCACAGTTTGGCCTCGTAATGTAACCTCAATACAAAGTTTCTCACCATTTTTCAAATGGTCAGAATGTTATTATCAGCTATTTAGTACAAATAATTTTTCGACTAGACTCAAACTGTGTTTGCCTACTCGTTAGTTTAGTTAAAATCCTTGAAAAAAAAACGTTTTGTTTTCTACCTTTTGTTGAAATTTTCAGAGCTACTTTTGCAATTGTTTTGCTTGTTTTTGCAAAATACAGTCTCGCCTCTGTGCATAAACATGCAGCTAGTTTCTGTTCACAATTTCAACTGCCAATTAGACTGAGCTTTTGAGAGTTTTTCATTGTAATTTGAAACACGCCCACCTGAAGTGAAAATAATCAAAATTGGCGTTTCTGCGATTCGCAGAGGATCGATGAAATTTCCAACCAATCATGTTTCGTATCATCACTATTAGATGATAGTCTATAAGAATAGTCTATATATGATAGTCTATAAGAAAACCTTTCTTAATCGTGCCATGATACTTATAGGTAGGCTCTAAATATACAAATAAAACAAAAAGCTTATTGTTAAGAATTTTGGAAGAAAAATAAGATAATTACGTCTGCAAATATTTGCGTCTAAAATCAGATGCAACAATAGAAGGGGAAAATTTCCCGACCAGTTTATTGAGTTGAAAATTTATTGAAAGTTTTGCTACGCAACATGGAATGCTGAAACATTAAATTTGACATTATAATCTTTCGAGTTTTTTCACACATCCGCCAATTTTCTGTAGGCTTATCTATTTGAGAGTTCAAATATGCATTTATTTTTTCCAAAACGGATGAAAAAAAAAAATTTCATCTTATCAAGTGTGTAATTTGAACATATTTCATTCTCTTGGTCCATTGATTTTTGTACTTACATATGCAGTTGGCGCCATAGTTCTGCAATTACAACACTCATCCATAAAGTCAAGGTTCATTTGTTGTTTTAATAAATGCTTATATAACTTGATTTTTGAATATCGAGCAATACTGTCAGTGCCCGTCTAAGGATGGTGTTTTAAAAACCGGTTGTTGGGCGGATGTGAAAATTTTGTTTTCATATCAAATTATACTACTGTCATATCAGTTTCTACATCCTTAAATGGGAACTTAACCAAAATCATTAAGGCGTAAATCGACACAACGAAAATAAACAAGATTAGCCTGATGCATTTAAAGTAAGCATTTAATGTTAACAAAAATGAAAAAGAATAACCGGTTACTAAGCAAATAGCACAAAATGTGCCGACCAGTCTTAAAAAAAAACAAAAAAATTTTTTTTTCAATTTAAAGGTGTTTTTCTTTTCTGCGTATCACACCACGCAAAAAAACGACCTTAGCTTGAAAAAAAATTGGGTTGTTTTCTAAGACTGTGGTCGAAACATATGATCGGAAAAAGATCCGAACGAAAAACTAAAGCTTAGTCATATTCACCAGTCATAATAAAATAGAAAAATGACTAGAAAAAGACAATTTATATTTTCAAAATTTTTTCAATTTTTTTTTTGCAGTTTTTTGATTTTTTTTAAGTTTTGTATTCCAAAAAGGTGCTAAAAAAGCTCAAACAATAACTTTACTCGAGTAAAACTAATTTTTCACCGCTTATAAAAGCTATTGTGAGCTATTAAGTTGAAAAATTATTTATTGTAAGCCTGCTTGCTCGCTTTATTCGCTCATATTAAGACAAAAACATAAAAAAGTTTAAACCTGGTTTTATCAAAATTGCGATTATCTTTTAGGAAATTTGCTAGATCGTTCGAATCACAAAAAAAATGCTTCAATATGGTATATCACTTGACCCATACCGATGATTTGTACCTGATTTTGCTTGGAAAATAAGAAAAATAAAAAGAAAACACACGAATACAAATTTCCTCCTCATTTTTGAAATGATCAGAACAAAAAATATCTTTCTGAGTTTTTCTAACATTTTTTGGAGCGTCGAAGGGTGAAAAAATAGTAAAATGTTTTTCCTGATAGTCTTGAAATGTAAATCTTGGAAAATTTCTTGCAAAAATTTTTGCAAGAAAATGAACTGTTTCTGCATTTTTTGTATTAATTTTGCAGGTTTTAAAGTATATAGATCATTTTTTGAAAAGAAAAATCGCAAAATATAACTAGGACTTTAGTTCGAGAAAAAATGGATTGTAATTCTATACCTGATTAGAAGCTTTCATACCACTAATTTTAAATGAGAAATGGAAGAAAAATCATAAATTGCAAATCCAGATGTTTTGCGAGAGCATATGAATTTAATACATCACGCAGTGAAGTATTTACCAGGTTAATGAAATGCAGATATTGCGAAATTTTTGCAAAATTTGCTCTCTGAGAAGACCAACGTAAAAAATTGTAATTGTAGATCTATATTGATCGCCGTATAATCAGCTTTTTGGTATTCGCATAATGAAATTTTCTATTTAGAAGATAAATACCGAAGAAGAAGAAATTATATCTTGCACTTAGCTTGAAAGACTTAAGCAAGATCTGCATTTCAAATGGCGAATAAAAACCTGGCAAAAATCCTAAAATTTTGCTGTTCGGCTCATCTGTCGTCGTACTAATTTTTCGCACTTTCTACATATCAAAAGAATCAAGAATTAAATGGCCTTAATTCATTTGTCACTCAACCCCACTAGTCGTTTTTTTTTGGCTGCTCATTTTGAGCTGAACGCTTTGCGTTCCTTCCCACTTTGTCGACAATTAAAAATTGTAGCTCTTACTTTTTGGAGCGTTTTTTCTTCTTGGATTGGTGTCTGCTGATCATGATGTCGGGTAACTGCACTCTCCGCTGCCCTTCAGGTGTCTGAAAACTTCCAACTATCGCCCCTTCCTTGTCTGTTTGAGGACCCGAGTCTACTTGTTCCGGAGAAGTGTTTTCGTTTCGGGCGCCGAGCGTTCCGGAGGAACATACCGTGCGCATCTGGGGGTTTCCAGGGTTCCCACTAGACGTTGTAGGTTCCTGGCGATTTTGATTGCTACCAGTGAGATCAGTCTTGGAACTGGCGGGTGACAGATTGCTGTCTTTGCCCTTGAGTCCTGACCGGGCTGATTTGAGAGTCTTGATATGCTGCAGGACTGAATGGTAAGCTGTAATAAATGGTCACATGTTTTATTGTTGTTGTAAGCTGCTTCAAGAATCGCTTATTGTTGTACCAACCATTGTTGGTACCAACAATCCAAAAGCATGAAAAAAATGAAAAATTGTTAACAAAACCTTTTAAATTTAGTTTCTTACAGATTTCTGCGATCAAGACATTATGTGTTATTTGCAGAAAACCTTTTATTCTTGCTCATGTTTTTGGAAGCTCTGTACTTACATTTGTCTCCTTTTCTGGACCTGCGGTGGAAGCGAACCCTGTTGCTAGAGTCCATGGAGGCCCTGCCTGCCTGTCCCAGACCCCTGCAGGCCACGTGATGAGGAAGATTATGATGATAAGTGTGGGGGTGCTGGGGGTCACTCAACTCGTCTGCTGTCGCCTCACTGTCTATGGCCCCTCTGCGCTGCTTCACAACCTAACGAAAAATGGTCATTAAAAAGACATATTTAACCCCACCTATACCCTATACTGCTATGTTTTTGCGTGATAGCATGGCTTAAAACTGATGGAAAAATACTCCTAGAGAATTAATTAATTTATCTGTTAATTATAGTTTGTTAGAGAGTAAATAAATTATTTGGAGCAATTTACCCCCCCCCCCCCCCCCCGTAATAAACCATGGTATCGCGCAATTTTCGAAAAATGAAACTTAAGGCAAGCTATGATAAGAACAAAAAGTGTCCGAGTGAGATACTTGATATTAAGCATGTTAAATTTCAATGAAATGTGAGAAAGTTAGTTATGTTTTCCAAATTTCCGTTTGTAAACTGGAGTAAGCCAATAATTAATCAGTGTTTGAAGGTTGTTTCAATCCGAGCTAGGCTGACTTAGTTCGAAGATGAAACTCTTTTCAACCCCCCACCCCTCCCCCCCCCCCCCCCCCCCACCTTTTTGTACAGTTTTTTTAAACGTGTTATGGCTAAACGCGTAATGTTACGATGTAAGTATGAAAAACAAATCTGTTCACAATTGTTAGTTTGTTCTCCGTGTCAAATTTTAAACTCAGGTTTTGACTCTCTGGAACGTCTGTTTTCATTGTCGAAATTTAGTAAAATTTACTTCGATTCTCATTGAAAATCTTACATAGGCCAAAAACAAATGATTGAAGTTACCCTCTATGAAAGTATCAATGTTTGATTTCAAAAACTTACCAATGTAATTCCGGTCTAAAAATGCCAGCATTTCTCATCTGCATTAAGTTTTGCATCGTAGTTAACTTTTTCTCGAGAATAAACGGGGTGAAAAAGTTATTCATGCGACTGAAACATTCTCAGCAAGAAAATTTAATTATTCAGCGGGAAAGTTTTTAATAAACTCGGCTGTTACTTATTTTATAACGCTGATTGAATGACTTAGCGCAGGTGAGGAAAACTGGTATTTTCAGATCCGCATTACATTGGTAAGTCATTGAAGCGAAGTATTGATAATTTCTTAGAGGGTCGTTTTAGCTTTGATCATTTGCTCTTGGTCTATGCAAGAATTTTTCTGAAAACCGACTAAATTTTGTCCAAAATGCACATAAGAAAAAGGCATTTTAGAGAGTAAAAACCTGAGTTTGCGCTTAATTATATCCACTAGTGTACAGTGCTGATTTATATTATCCCGACAAAATGAACAAAACTTGAATCTTCAAAAACGTTTTTCTCAAATTGGGTTAAGACTAGACAAAAATAGAAGAGAACAAAGTTGCATAGAATTTCATCAAAATTGTTATGGTGCAATTGTTCTCCAAAATTTTCAACCAAAATTTTACCCCAAAAAAAATAATTTTGGCTTTTTTCGATTAATCAAAAATTACATTGAAAATACACTGTTAATTGATGAGAATTATATTTCACAAGAAGCCTCTTGCACAGCTCAACAAAGTTTGAGAAAAATGAAATCTCCAAAACTTGAGTAAATTATTTAAAATTTGTTTTTAAGCAAAGATTTTGGGTTTTATATAGTAAAATCACCTTTATTGACTATCAAGCAAAAACATTTTATCTTATGCAGGCTTTTGGAGATTAAACCCTTCTAAAACTTTGTTGGGCTGTGTACGAGGCTTCTTGTGATATATATTTCGCATCAATTAACAAAATCGTTTCAGCGTAATTTTTGATTAATCGAAAAAAGCCAAAATGACCCATTTTTGGGGTAAAATTTTGGTTGAGATTTTCGGGGAAAAAATTTCTCCATAGTAATTCTAAAGAAATTCTAAGCAACTTTTGCTCACTTCACTTTTTGTCTGATCTTAACCCAAATTGAGAAAAATGTGTTTGAAAATTCTAGTTTTGTTCATTTTGTCCGGATACTTTAAATCAGGACTGTATTTGGCATTGCATTGTGACAAGATTAAAGTAATTTTCTTAAACTTAAAATGGTCGGGGAGTTGAAAAAAGCCAAAGATGATAAAGTTCAATGGCACAAAATGTTACTGTGCTATTTTTTGCAATTACCCTAATTAGATGTTTTCCTAGTTTTTAAAAAACACTGCATGCTAGTTAAACTTATAGGTAAAATTTCTTCAAGCCTGTTGATGATATGAAAAGTCAATCAACAGATTTTGGCTCTTTTGAACCCCCACCATTCAATTGCAGTTTTGTAAAATTTCTGTAACATAACTATAATTCAATGGAACTTGGTATAGTGAACAAACTAACAATAGTGAACAATTTTTACTTCATACCTTACATGATAATATCACCCATTTAACCAAATAACACGTAGAACGACTAGAAAAAGAGAAAAATTTTTGGTCGAAGTTGTGTAAATTGCGGGTAGTTCACATGAACTTATGTAAATTGCTGGTATTTCTCTAATATGTTTTATAAATTTCTAATGAACTTTTGATGATATGAAATTTAAGATATTTCCCATTATAGCCCTCGCCCCCAGTGAATTATAGACCTCCCCAAAAAATCACTGTTTGGGGAGGATGGGGCTATATTTTTTTGTTATGAAGATGGGGGTGGGGGAGACGAGACTATAATGGGAAAGACCCGATAATTACGTCCAATAACCAAACTCAAGACAACTTACGATTGAATGAATAATTATAACATTGGGCTCTTTTCCCTTAATTACCCCCACCCCCCTCCTCACCACCACCAGGTGGGTGGAAAAAAGAAAAGAGCCTAACATTGTAACAGCTTAAGTAAGAAAACTAGCCTCGCGTCTGTATATCGAGATGTCCACCCCTCCTGTGTTTTCCTGCTGCTGCTGCGACTGAACAACAGTGCTGCTGTGGCTTCTCCCCTTCTTACCACTGGTATGTCCCCCCAAACTATTACCACGTGATGTCGCAGGTGCAGATAGTGTAGCTGTTATGGTGTCTGGGAGTGTGTTAGCAGTGGCGGCGGTTCTGTCGAAGAGGGTGGGGGTCGGGGTGGGCGTCGAGGGGGAGGTGAGACCAGGGAGAAAGAAGCGAGTGAGCGGCCCTACTGAGTAGGAAGAAGATGAGGATTGTTGATTGTTGCTGCTTGCGTCACGCTGTGAATGAAAACGGAAGAAAAGTGTAAATTTTATGCTACAAATTATAATAATAAATCATGAATTGGTCTTAAAAAGTGAACAATCTCATAAAACTAAGGTCGGTTAAACTGTAGTTTAATCCTGAATTAACACCCAAAAGGCCAATTGGCTGCTTTTATTGAGTGGTATTTTCTTTGTTAAAAATAATAAAAATATGAACATGTTTCGTTCAAATTTCAAAAACCAATGTACATTTCTATCACTAGAAAGCTGAGAAGGATGGGAGAATAGGGAAAAGGAAAAGAACGAAAGAAGGAAGAGTACTCGCCAAAAAAAAACATTTTTTTTGTCAAAATGATCCAAAAAGTGCAAAAAACGGTTCATTTAGCCTTGTTTTTTTTTCAAAATAAGTTTTTGTTGAAATAGGTTTTTTTTAGGTTCTCAGAGATTTCGGAAAATCAATGTGAGCGACTTAAAAAATAAAGATCGACAAACATTATGAACATTTTTTGAAAAAATATTTCCAGCCTCGAAAATTTTTGCGCAAAAAATAATTGTTTTTAGGAAAAATATCCATAACTGTTTCCTAAAAATGGCTAATAAAAGTGAGAACGCCGTCGTTGTTGTTGAAATAGCTAATCTTGTTTGTCATACTGGAACCTGATCTAAACTACATTTTATGATTGGATAAATTAGATACTTTACCACTGTAAAGTATTTAATATTAACCAATCATGATCCATCTAACTAACAACCCACTTATTTGTAAGTGCTGAAATTACTTGTAATTTCAGCACCAGAGAGATTTGAATTTAACTTAGAAATTAGTCGCCTCTCCAAGAGAACTTCAGCAGCCGCAATAAACCAGTATACCCTAGATCTATTGAGCCTAGCAGAGACTAGTTAAACAACCTGAGACTAGAATAGTATAAGAGTAAGATTAGGATCGGTATTAGACTAAGAAGTTGCACGAATCTATCCGGCCGAAAATAAGATAGCGTGACGAGCAGACGGTGTACCCTATCCGAAATTACTCTATGAGTTAAGACCATCGGTTATAACTCATCTGGTGCGACCATAAGTCTCGAACAAGACCTTAATAGCTTCGAATTAACCAAAAATAGATTAGAATTTAGACAAAACATTTTTAAAATGTTACACGACGATAATTTAATCGAAATGTCTCTACGACTCAATAGATCAGAGCCAATATTCCGAACGATAATAGAACTACCCGGAATTGGAAGAAGACCTCGAACCAGAGACGACATACGACAAAGTAGAAACTCACCAAATAGTTATATGATAGTACGGCAAAAGCCAACACAAACTTTTATATTTAGAATTTTATTAGCAATGAATTTAGATTTTCATTTGCAAACTTAAATCTTGAAGTCAATCTTCATGATCATTTCAGGCGCTAAACAAAATATTAATATACAAAAACGATTGATAAAAAGATCTCAGAACGTTTTCCTAAAATTCTGCAGTATTCTATAAAACAATGTTTGGAAAATATTTATTGAAAATCAAAACAAAAATTAGTAGCATGACAATAAACTGTTATTAATCATAAAATCATCAGTTGTCCCAGCTTCATCACCTAAAACATAACAGCAATCATAAGCTCACTAATATCATTAAAACACTAAATCTTTTCTTAAATAAATTTAAACCGTTTTAAACATAAATTCACTTAATTTTAAAATCAGATCATCAAGGCTTATCCTTGGATCTTAATTAATTTTCTATTTAATTAAATTTAAAAAACTTGATCATCAAGGCCTATCCTTGGATCAAAAAGAACAATTTTGTTCTCCCCCACCCACTTAGCTAGTGTCTAACGACCTCAAACGTCGATTCACTATCCAACCCTTTCAAAAAACCCAAGACTAATAGAAATTTTTGAACAAAACTAATCATTCAAATTAGGATAAACAGTGAAGAACTTCGGTTATTCATCCTTCACTTGAACCCTCCTCTTACCAGACCCAGGATAAATCTTAGACTTAGTCAGTTTAAAATAGTATCTAACGAACTACTCGCGTTCTAATTATACCTGAACCTTGTGGATCGATTTACTATTCTCCAACCCTTGAACACAATCACTACCCCTAAGTAAGATTAAGTAAGTTAACACCTTAGCTTATACTAGCCACGAGAAAGTAAAAAATTATTCTTCGGAATCGATATACTTTTCTCTCCAACCCTGAACAAATAGACCCAGGTTAAGCTAACCAAAAAATCGTAAGGACTAACAATTTAAGAAAATAGAAATCATCTAACAACTTCTTGCATCCGTCATCCTAAACCTTATGTCATTTAAAAATCTCGGAAACAAACAAACAATCGTTTTACACAACTGTGAAATAGATAACAAAAAATACGACCTTGTAATCACACCTCACACACAAACAGTTGGATATATCAGAACAAAACGACAAACACTAAAAAGGAAAATAATAACTAAACAAAGACAAATAACACGAAAAAGATTTTCCAAAAATAGAAACGCATTCTCAGAATCAGAAGTCAGCAATTTAGACGAACTTTATAAATTAAAAGAATCCATTAATAAAAATTGCCCTATTCACGATCAATTATATTTTTCCGACTCAGAAACAACTTCAAATTTATCAAAAAGAGGAAAAAGAAGAATAAAAAAGCAATATAAACACAAACCAGTACACTTGTATAATTGGAATCAACCAATTAGACACATCGATAATTACCTATTAACAGTCATTAAACGAAAAAAATGAGCCAAACACACACTCCAAGTGAAGATAGTCCAGACGATGACGATATCTACCCCTTCTTAGTAGATGCACCCGATAATAGAGGACAGCATGATCTTTGTAAGAACTTTCTTCTAAATGTGTTTGAACCCGGAATTAGCCCATGTAAAACAGAGTTCCCAGATGTAAAAATAAAAAGACAGATTATTGATCACTATCTGAAAGATATATGTAACTTAACACAACAATACGGAATCTACACCATAGAATTCAGCTCACCAAACCCGAATCACCGCAAATATGTAATTCAAACAGACAATCTTGATTTAGAATTTTCAAAAGTATTCTCAGAATATATAAAAAGCATACAATATCATAACTCACAAAGAGCAAACTCCATATTTACTAATGAAGTTTTTGCAATAATATATAGTTATATTTCAATATTAGAAAATGAAAACCCAATCCCGCATATCTCACCAAATGAGACATCCAAACATATAAAAGTACGACATGAAATCACACTATTTTCAACTTTTCTACATAGAATTAAAGAAAATTTCACTAAAGATGAAGTTCCACAACATACAAAACATGACTTACAAAAAATTTTGGCATGGTTTATAATAGATTATTTCACACATAATATAGATTTAATTTCACAAGCAAGAAAAAATTTCAGACCCCAAAATTCAAACGATGATACCGCCATCACAGAACAATCAGACTACGTTTGGGACCCCGAATGGTGTCATTATGCATTCATAAATATCCCACAATCAATCTCAAGTCAGGCAATAAGTACAATATCTTATGTAAGAGATTATGTAAGGGTAATACCATTATCCATTGATGCAACACCATTAAACTACAATACATTTTTACCCGATACGCGAAATAACAGTTTAAATTCGACCGTCATACACAATGAAAACCCAAATGGAACTAGGAACCTCACTCAACAAGATATTCAAACACCATCACACTTCATAAATGAAGAAATTGTCCAAACAACAACTACACAACAAAGTATTTCACCAATACGTCCAAATTTAACAACACCAAGAAATACAAACACTTCACTAGCACAAGTAACCTTACAATCAACCGTTAAACCTTCGGTTGCTCCAAAATATTCACAAATGGATTATCAAACATATAGACCCATGACAATACCGTCAAAAACACGCAGAACGTTCACAAGAAACACTTTTGCGGAACACAATTATAATTACGCACATTCATCAAAAACAAACTATCCCCCACGAAAAAATAATAATAATCAGATAAGATCTCGATATTGAGATAACCCAATGGCAACAACCAACTCAGTAAATTTTCAAACTAAATCACATCCTCCACAGGATCGTAGTGAAAATTACCCATTCTTTCAACAGAATAAAAATAAAAAACAAGCATCTCATCAAACGGATTATCTATCCTCTGATGATGATTATTTACAACCAAATATATTTGCACCATACACTCAAGAATATCGTGGACAAGGAGTGCAGAAATCATACATATAATAGAATTTTTTCTCCACACCCAACAGATACACAAAATCAACAACCAATACAAATGCAAAACCCAATTAATACACAATCTTTTCAACCAATTCAGCCACAAAACCCAATGATTACACACTCGTATCAACCAACACAAATGCAAAATGAAATACCACTTCCATATTACCTTCAACAACACGAAATAACAAAAAATCAACTTTCAAAATTTTCACAAATGCCAAATGCCGCAGAATCATTACAAATGACAATGAATCCATACCTTATGGGTGGATCATCAATAACATCAAACAAACCATTAATGGTATTCACAGGAACAGACCCTGAATATTCTGTAGAAGAGTATTTAAATGCAGTAACAGCAAATTTAATTTTAAATATAGGACCTGAACCAATTAATACGCCACTACATCAAAATTGGATACATCGACGCACAGCGTTGATACAGACAACCTTAGACGGCGCAGCCCAAAAATGGTTTTCAGTATTGCCTATAGAAATAAAATCAAATTGGAAAAGATTTACACAAGAATTTTCAAAAATGTTTGACTCCGAAAGAAACAAACAACAACAAAGAATTTTATGTAATGAAATTCGCAGATCACCAAATGAAACCATCAAACAATTAGCAGTACGTATCGAAACACTAGTTCGAAAAGCATACTCATTAAATACACACGACTATAAAAACACAAAAATGACAGAAATCTTAATGATGACCTTAACACCTCAATTAAGGAAAATAGCAATAAAA